TAACACCTTGGGGACAACCAGCGTGGAGTAGGCAAAGCCAGGACACCACAGATTCATGCATTATATTTGTACGTGTAAAATGAGCGAGGTGGCCAGCGGAATGGGTCTCAGTCTACTGACTGAGATTAATAACAGGTTGGGGGACAGTCCGTGTGAAGCAGCCACCAAAGGTAATTTCACAAACTCATGCATTGTATTTGTGCACATCTTCAGGGGATCACACTCACATGCAGTCTGCCGGTGATGCCTTAGCCACTGTACTAGGGTGGCGTACAAAGTAGGTATTCTTGTCATTGGTGATCTACCACATATATAGTAATCTACATCATTTAGATGATACATTATTGTATGTTTTTTTAACTTTGGTCATTACATCCTAACTCTCACCATAATAGATCACTCGTTGATGACTAATATGAAGGATATCAGAAGATAAAGGGGTAGGGTCGACTCAGATTCCAGTCACAGCTAACCTAGGCAGCAAGTTAAATCTTCCCTGGACTCCATCCTTCACCAACCCGCAGTGAGCAGTGTGGTGAAGTATGGTCAAATGACCTCCATGACTGGGATGGCATGGGAAGACCTTCAATTCAGCAGTGAATTCACAATGGTTTGTAAAGCAAGATTATAATTGTTACATCTTGAAAGGTATTCATGTAATAAAATGGGTTTATTTTTTTCACTAGGTAAGTTACAGTGTGTATAATTCTAGGTAAAAGTAATCCCTGCAAAACGGTGTCCAGACCAAAGCAAATATACAGTATCTCTTCCTTGTCAAGAGGCTGTACCGGACGTATGAAGACAGAGATTCCTCGTAGAGACACACAGAGGATGTTGGGGCAAATATTGTTATCGAGCAGCTATGAAAGTCGACACAGCAACTTTGGGGTGGTGAGGCCAGCACCATCCCCGACCGCCTTTGTTTTGTCACTGTTGATGTTTATACACTACATCAGGTACTCCTTTAAGACTCGGTCGACTGAAGGGAGGCCCAAGGAGCTGTTCAGATAATCACCATTGATGTTAGCCATTGCCGGATATGTAACCCAGGTCGCCAGGATCGTAGCGCAGTGCGGTAACCACAACACTACACGACTCCCCAAGAGCCGGACACAAACACGACTTGCACACGCAGGTGCAACGTGCAATACTTAAACGCCTATTGCGCATTGACAAGCTATTTATGAGTTGGATCCAACATAGGCAGGTTTTAAATGAAAGTATTGAGTGCTGCTGAGAAGCCCAAGGGAAGTTGTCCTGACCGGGGACATGGCCGATTGATCTGCAAAGGGGGCACGTGGCGAGCATTGACAGCTTCATCTGTCCCCATGGGTGTGATTGGTCTGCACATCTCACACGCAATACATTTCAGGGGTAATGCACACGCGCACACACACACACTTACAAATGTACCACCACTTGCGAAAATGCACAAAAGACACTTAAATGCTTCCAAACAACAACTACAGCGATCGCCATTCAACACTAAGTGATGGTGACATCATCACGGCACTTGCATATTTCTAAATGCACTTTGAGGCCACGTGAAGTGTCAAACGCTCACTGGGAGGAGGACGTAGGTCATGGGGCATATTCCAGGTGTTATGAGTTAGCTGTTAAATTATTCTTACACACGTACAATAATATGTTTAATACTAACTGAATGTAACATTTAACAGCTAATTGTCAATCCACTGCTGAATGAAGACCTCTCTATGCTGTGTCAGTTATTTTCACAGCTCTAAAATAACGCTTAGAGCTGCCAAATCTTGAGGCATCTCACTTTACTCTTCTGAAATTAATGATTTTCACAACTTACGTCGGTAAAACAATCTCATGTCCACGACACAAGCTGCCAGTGTTTGTCATCAGTCTTGATCTCGTTTTCATGACAATGATTTATTGAATGCACGATAGTGCTTTACTTGAATATTGAGACTATACATATTTAACACCTAGACACGTAAAAGGTCGCGTGCTAACGATGAATTTTAGCTCATGGCTTCAAATTAGCTGGTGCTCTCTCCCCCTGTAATTGTGCACAGATGGTGATTATGGTGCTAAGTGATGCCAGCCACAGCAACATGTAATACAGGTGGTCTTCTTTTTTTTACAAAGACTTATTATCAATTCACCTATTCTGCTTAAAATGGATTATCAAGACCTCCAAGAGAAATATATATATACCAAACGCTTAAATAAGAGTTAACCCTGATGAAATTACAGCATTGTACGAATGCCAGCCAGAGAGAGAGAGATGAGAAATCATTTTAAGACACCATATTCTGCAATTATAATGAATGTGTCACGTTTACAAAGGACAACTTGTTCACTACTTTAGCCCACCGGTGTGTTGAAGAGTGAATCAACATCATTTAAAATTTGAGTACGACGTTTCGCTGGTAATTACATCCAGCATCATCGGGCAATTCGCCAGAATGGTAAAGCACTCACTTGCTCTCGGTCTTAAATAGAGCAGCATGGTGACGTCATCATTTAACTCATTCAGGTGCAGTGATTTGAGGCGGAGGGGGGGGGGTTATTGTAATTATATAATCGATTGGTAATCAGTCAATGGTTATGATTAGTAATGAGTTGTAGATTAGTAATTAGTTGTAATGTGTGTTATTGTGATTATATGCTACGTTAGTCATCCGTTAATTAGTATGTGTTTCCCCTATAAGGAATTATAGTATGTATTATTTAATAATACGCTTCCAAGCCGCACTAAGCCTGTAGCTGTCAGAGCGATTAAAGTTATTTCTACTTCTCTCAATTTCAATGGATTCTCTAATTAGTCTTTGCCAGTAATAATTAGTTTTACACAACACTTCAACGTTATCAAAATCAATTGAGTGTCCTTGTTGACAAGCATGTTCTGCCACTGCCGACAGTTGTGTTTGAGATCATTTAATATTTCTTTGGTGTTCTTTTAGTCTTATGCTGATGTTACGTCCCGTCTGTCCAATATAGCATCTGCCACATAAACAGTTAATCCGATATACACCTTCTGTTGATAATTTAGGTAATTCGTCTTTAGTGCAAGATACTAGGTTTTGAATTTTGTTGTACTGTACCAAATCTTACTGTAATGTTTTGCTTTTGTAATGTTTTGCTTTTGCAAAAGCAAAACATTACGATAAGATTTGGTACAGTACACAACATTCAAAACCTAGTATCTTGCACTAAAGACGAATTACCTAAATTATCAACAGAAGGTGTATATCGGATTAACTGTTTATGTGGCAGATGCTATATTGGACAGACGGGACGTAACATCAGCATAAGACTAAAAGAACATCAGAGAAATATTAAATGATCTCAAACACAACTGTCGGCAGTGGCAGAACATGCTTGTCAACAAGGACGCTCAATTGATTTTGATAACGTTGAAGTGTTGTGTAAAACTAATTATTACTGGCAAAGACTAATTAGAGAATCCATTGAAATTGAGAGAAATAGAAATAACTTTAATCGCTCTGACAGCTACAGGTTTAGTGCGGCTTGGAAGCGTATTATTAAATAATACATACTACAATTCCTTATAGGGGAAACACATACTAATTCACGGATTACTAACGTAGCATATAATCACAATAACACACATTAAAACTAATTACTAATCTACAACTCATTACTAATCATAACCATTGACTGATTACCAATCGATTATATAATTACAATAACCCCCCCTCCGCCTCAAATCACTGCACCTGATATGAGTTAAATGATGACGTCACCATGCTGCTCTATTTAAGACCGGGAGCAAGTGAGGGCTTTACCATTCTGGCGAATTACCCGATGATGCTGGATGTAATTACCAGCGAAATGTCGTACTCAAATTTTAAATGATGTTGATTCACTCTTCAACACACCGGTGGGCTAAAGTAGTGAACTATTTGTCCTTTGTAAACGTGACAGATTTTTTACTGTTTGGCCGTGTCGGGTGGTGGAGGGTTATGACACATTTATAAATAACGCGATCTAACCCAAAAACCTCTATTATGAATAATATTGGTCGCGAAAGCCTACGTGTTAAACCGAATTATAATGAAGTTCAGCCAACGAACTAATTGTGCAGTGAACTCCTACTTTCCTTCAAATTTCATGTGTCCTTGGAAAAGCACACTAATGGTAAGCAGTGAAAACAAATATATAGCAGCAAAATTGCAGTGATTATTCGTCTGTTAGAGATATTTTTGTTTTACCTCAACCTATGCATACTTTCTTGTGCACGTCTTCATTTATATAATTACTCGCGCAATGCGATAATCGTAGAGCCATTGGACATGCACACTAAAAAAAGGTGCTATTTGTTACTAGCTTTGGCTTTCGCATATGGGTAGAGCTTATATTAATTGACATATCCAGATAAAATTATACACGATTATTAATATGACTTAAAGCTTTCGTGACTACAGGAATTCACGTAGATAGGTTCAAATAAACCTATCTACGTGACTTTACCTATCAACGTGACTTTACCGAAAAAACCCAAAGAATATTATTTTTTGCTTAACAGTTAAGTGTTAACAGGTACATTTGACAAACATTTATTAAAATGTTTGATCTTAAAATCACTGTTTACCCATTTCTCATCAATAGCAATTATAACGTAATTACAGTCAAATGATTTTCTCTTTTGAATTTTTGTTGCATGATGCAACAGCTCTTTAAGTGAATGATAATGAATAATCGAGAGGGTGCTGGCTCTTAATTAATTTCCATTAAATGATCAATAATTTATCATAGCTGGCCAGTTTTCCACTAGCAAAACAGATTGATTGGGCGCACAAAAGCAGCACATTGTTTTCAAATATATATTTCTTTAGCTAGAGCTATCAAGACTAATTGCCAAAATTGATTTTCAGCTGACATTTGATAATCTAATTCAGGGCAATAAACTAAAATGCCCAAATTGTAAAATGCAGTCAAGTTCGTTCCACCTTTATGTCAGGACATAAGAGACATTTGAAAAAAATCCAACAAACAGAACTCACGGTGATGAAATCTTGCGGTTTGCAATCCTGGCCGCAGAAGCGACACGACAGCACCATCTCATCGAGCGAATGTCCCAGGCGGTCCAGAAGGCCTTGGCTTATGCCGGGGGCCTCGCGGGGTGGTAGAAACCGCGAGAAGTCAGACATCCGCTGAAACCACTGCCGCCTCGGCTCTGAGAGACCGGCCATCATGTGGGGGTTCGCCGTGAGGTTCGCGGCTGTCGCCGCAAAGGTTGCTTGTGGCTGTTGAGACTCAGCGTGAGTGAGCAGGCCCAGCCACATGCCGGCCACATAAAGGTCCGATTTGGTGAGCCGAGGAAAGCGAACGGGGTTGTTGTTGCAGAAGGTGACGGCCGGGAAGGGAAGACCACGCACCCAAGACGTGCTCACCCTGGTGTGCGCAGGCCTCGATAGTAGGTGCTGGATGCGGTCAGCCGACCAGGCGAGGAGAAGGCCCAGGGCAGCCATGAAGGCCAGGAGCCAGAGGATCCGACGGGTGACAGCGTGCCGGGGCCACAGGAAGTGGCGAACGCCATGGATCTTGGCACGACCGACAAACGCGGCGTGGGCAGTCTTTGGGCCACGCGGCGGACGGAGGACCCATTCGCTGGCGGGGCATTCAGATTTTGTCGTCGTCTTCCTCGTCGTCGTCGTCGTCGTCTCACCAGCTTCTGTGTTGTTGCCATCCTGCTCTCTGCAAATTTCGACCAGGTTGTTCTGCTCATTTGCTTCATTATTGGAACCGGCTGGATCGGCCGGATCGGCGGGGTCGGCCGGGGACTCAGCAGGGGGAACTGTGGGGAGCTCATCGGTGTCCGAAGGCTGTTCATCAGCGGGGCTAGAGGCCATACTCAGAGCTGCACGACAGCTTCGAAAAAACTCTGGCCGCAGCAAACGAAGACCGCATCCCCCCTCGCCGAGTTCACCCAGAAAGATCTTTTGCAATCGCCTACTCGCACCCTCTATCTGCAGTGTCACTTCTCCAGCTTCCGTTTAATCAAATTTTTACTGCCGGGCAACATTTACACGCGAGAAGTGGCTTTTTTAGAGCACAAATGATAATGGAAGTAGGCCATGATTTGTATAAATTATTTGAAACACACCACCAAAAGGCTGCTCTGCCTGGTCTATGGAGCTCTACATCAATGGGACTGAGGCGTGCCCAAACTGTGCATCACCAGACCGACACGTGCAAAGAGCCCTGGAGAAATACACGGCCGCGCTCGAGAGGCAATAGGATAAATGGAAACCCTGAAGAGAAAAATCACCACACGATACAGTTTTCTCAAAGTGAAGACATCCATTGGATTGATATCCATCCATATCCAAAGTGACTGCCTGAGACTGTGACGTTATGGCTGAGGGCACATTATGCCTTTAACGGTGGCTGTTAGCAGTGACTTTTCGAAGAGCTTTTATCACCTTCCCTATCTTTCCATCCCCTCTTTCATTTAACTCTGGCTTCAAATGTGGAAAATTACGTGGCTCTCGTTAAAACGGGTCATGCGCGCCAATGCGGCGCTTCTGTGTAACAACCGCAGTCGATCATTTTTTCAGACTCTCCCATGAGCGGGAATTGAATTCACCTCCATCTCCACAGGCAGAGAAGAGAGCTCAGAGACTAACGCAACACCCCCCCCCCCCCGCCTACCACCTCCGTCTTTGCTGGGAAAGGACGAGGCACACACGGGGCTGCATCAATCCACTCTCCCGCTCCCCAAGAGGCAGAAGAGCGCATGAACACAGAGACACACTGACGTGCAAAAACAGAAATGATGTAATCGCTCACCCTACTTACTGCCAACCTACGTGCTATATTTGCTGCACACCGCATTGACTGAAATATAAATATGGTGTACAGTATTTGTCTGAAATAAAAACTGCCTGATTTAGAGTGCCCGAATGCTCTCGTTCACAGATTTGAATAACACCGATTAATTTGCATGCACGCCTCTTGTTCTCTGAACAGTGTCCGATTTCTCCTCTCATGACACAATTATTACATTACATAACAAAACAAGACTGCAGCAAGTATTAAAGGCAGAACATGTTATCTTCAATAAAGCTTGACTAAAAACTAAAATAATGAACAATAGATATATTTTAAAAATATATATATCGTTACAACGAGAAGTAATCCATAACAACCACATTGACTTTACGATCTATTTGGATGCAAAACATAACAGACGACGTTCAATTTGTCCTTGAATAAATAATACATGCACTTAACATTGACGATACACGCAGATTAGTCACCATGCAATGACTAGTTACGATCCAGGATAACATCGGAAAAGTCTGGCAAAAACATCGCAGTACAGTACTCAGCCTCAAGAGCAGGGCGAATGCACAGCGCCCGGCATCCGCACAATGTTGCGAATAATATTCCAAAAGTCCACGGGAGGTGCCTGCAAAATATGTTTTAAAAAATATAACAAAATTTCTCGTTCGCACTCGACTCAAAGGCTATAGCACGAACTCGTATAAACTTCTTCTTGGGAAAAAAAATGTATTCAGTCGGCCGAACACAAGGGACGTTCTAGAATTCGTAGGACTTTTCAGCAGCCACTAAAAAAAATACTTAGAGCTGCCAAAATATTTGGCGAATGACGACGCAGTTGAAGACGCAGGCAGCTCCACAGTCAGACGAAGAGGCACAATCCCACACGTTCTCTGCCCCATTGCTGTGTGTTTTTTTATCTTGCTTTCGTGCGCTCCCCGCTTGCGACACGTCTCCCACTCTCGGCCTCCAGCGGAGTGGCTTCGTGTGTGGCACGCGCGAATGACATCGCGTGTGCGCGCGTACCGGCGTTCGCACGGCATCTCCACGCGGGTAAAGTCTGGCATGGGGGAGCCTTAGCCAATCATCTGAAAGGTCGTTTCTCTGTAACCCTTTGCGGTTCAGATCAGCTGCGATTTAAAAAAAAAGTAGACAGCATCCTATTACAACATCCATACATGAATAATATGTGATTGCTACCAAGAATGCCTTAAAGATTGGAAATTTTGAAATTATATTGCTCACATTGGACTAATGAGGAAATGTGTTGTTTTTCATTGCAACGGTGTTTAACATTTGTTGTCAAATTGGAAGGCACATATAATGAATATTTAATAATACACTTATTTTATGGATACATATGACCAAGGTGCGCTTGAGGATATCACGTTCGCATAGTAAGGGCCGCGATTTGCATGGCTTAAATAATTAATAAAATGTTATTTTTTAAAATAAATAATGCATGACCAAAAATCCGAGCTGCAGTGCAGTTGCCTCTTGCCTAATGAACCATCAAATGTCTGCTGTGAAGCTCATTTTTACATTTTTCAGAGATATGCGTTGATAAACATTAACCTAGCGATAGCAAACGACATTTGGCATTTAGTATATACTTTATTATTTTGTTGTTTCTTAGTTTTTAGATTAATTAGTTATTTTTATATTTTTTTGCTTAGTGTCTGCTGTGTCTTGTACGGTGCTTTGAAATCATTGATGAAAGGCACTTTATGAATAGAAAAAATATTATTATATTTTACTGAGCTCGAACATTAATCTTCTGAAAACGTTGCGTGACGTCTTAAGTTTTTTTTTGCGTCTGATGAAAACAGGGCTATTCACATGCATGCAGCTGGCTTACAAAGCTGCAAAACACTTGCACGTAATGTATCCCTGCTTTCGAAATCTGCCTCAGGGAGGTGGAACCAAGTCCAAAACACATAAAGCATCTCTGGAAAAACAGACAAAGAACTAACCATATTAACTCAAGGCAATCCAGAATTAATCCTAATAATTGAGATGTTCTGTCCACAGAAAACCAATTGTACTTGCTTTAAGTCTAGCAAATTACACAAAATGTATTGCCTAAATGGTACAAGCGAACACTGGTGAAGGTTAAAAACACTCGTGTCGATTACAAAAAAAAGAGTCTTTAATGTCTCATTGATTAAACTCAGATGCTGCCATGATGTAATGGTTGGCACACTGAATTAATTAATTCAGAGGTCGTCGGCACTATTCGATCTCCCAGTGCGGCAGTTGAACAATGGGGCAAGTTTTTGAACCCCCGTTCCTCTATCCACCCAGCAGCATAAATAACTAACACACTTTGATTTTTTTAAATTTAAAGCTTTCGTGACTGCAGGGATTCATATTCTTGGTTCTTTCGGTAAAGTTTCCCTTCTACGCGACTTTACCGAAAGAACCAAGAATATAACAACACACTTTGGATTGGGAGGTCGTGTGAGGTGTAAAAGTAGGCCAAGTGTTCTCTAGAGTAACATTCTAGTGCTCCCTCTAGCTGGGGCTCTTCCACCAGGAGTGGGCTGCACATTTATTCTTATCTTTTAAAAATGTTAAATGTCACATTAAAATGAAGGCTGGAGATCTCTATCGCCCTGTAATGATTATTCTCGCTCAATGCAGGCCTATGTGCATTCATATATACAGCTCACTTTAAATCGTGAAAATCATCAGAAGCTATTAAGGCGAGCTTAAAATTACCAGTGTAATGGTTATACTAAAATCAATGTGGACAATTTTTTCCCTGTTTCGCTTTAATTGAGTTTTTATATAACGCGTCACTTTGTCGATTTTATTAATAGTCCTCCTGGATAATAAAGTTGGTGCTCATATGTAATAAAGCACACGTGACATGCCATTACAGCCACGTGAGGTCGTATTATGCAGACTTGTGCCTTCATATTTGTCATACACTGTGGCCTAACCACATGCCACGATAATTGATTTTTTTTCCTCCAAAAGAGCACTTGCATCGTGTGCAGCATTGAACACATGCGATGTCGGGAAAAGTGTGAACAAAAAAAAGGGACTATACAAATATTTAGGTTTTGTTTACGTTTCTTTAAAAGCGACAATGTACGGGCCCTTTATAAGCCCACTTCTAGATGAAGGCCTCACCATGCCATGCCAGTCATGAGTGTGGTTTGACCATACTTCACCGCGTTGGTCAGTGCGGCTTTACGAATGGGGGGACCCAATGAAGGTTCAGATATCACTCTCCACTGATGTTAGCCATAGCTGGGAATTGAACTCGGGTCGTAAGGTTCTGAATGCTGTGCGCCAACCACTGCACCACCGCTCCACCCCTTGTTTAAAAGTAGTCGGGTAACCCTCCCCCCCTCCCCCCCAGAGTGCTTCCTGTGGTGATGATTTACCACGTGTCCAGATACTGGAAAGAGGAGCGAAAGAGAACAAAATGGGACGGATTGGGCTGAAATTGATTTTGTGTTACGGATGAATGAGAGCTCAAAGTGTTGCCACCGTTCCTCCACATTCTCAAACCTTGCACGGAAAACTCAAATTCAGGGGAGAAAAGATATCCATGGAGGTTCCAGATTTACATGCCGTAGCCAACACAAAACATCCGCCTGAGATTTTATATGTATTTTTATCTTCAAATATAAACACTTTGATGCTGTCAGTTCGTACGAGTGACAAAAAAAAAACAGATCGCGTAAAGGTGGCACGTCATGTGTGCATATGTTTGTTCACCGTTACTGCAGATAATCCACCAATCAAAGTGTGCCTTCACCCTTTAAATCCCCACCTGGCTCACCCTTCATTACCCTGCCCTGCCACCTGCCCCAACGCTCAACACGTCAGAAAACACAACACCTAACCTTGACCTGTCCCTAAGTCTTTCCCATCTTGGAGACCACCATCGGGTGTATTTATTTCCTCTGTATACACCCTACTGAAGAAAAAACATAAAGATACAGAGCTGATTGAGTCTGGGGGCTATATGTGATTGTAATATCTCAACGTTACGGATCAGGGAAGAGGTGCAAAATAGAACAACCTCGAGGCAGCAATACTTTGAGAAGGAACAGATGTGACCCAACGGTCACGGAGACCACGGGGATTTAAAAAAATGGAGCATTTGAATGTTGGAGTTGGTGCCCCTGGCAGAGATGTGAAATAATTCGCTGGTTCTCATAAGCAAGGTGTGTGAGACACTCACCCACGGGGGCAGTGGAGAGCTTTGTAGAAAGATACAAAAAAAAAATCTCCTTTCTGACCTGTCTACGTGAATCTGAGTCTTCTCTCCGCATCTGGTGTGTAGGAACGTCTGTCGCCACTCTGCTTTCTTCAAAATCTAGTTTTCCACATATCTCACGTTTGGAATGTGCCCAAAGACTCAGCGGGGTTTTTTTTTTATGACTTAGATCCAGGCTCAGCACCTTCATTTTGACTCTTCCTATGACTGCTGCGTCTTTCCCTCTTTAAAATAAATATGCCCTTTGTTTCTGTACATCGTCTTGAGATGCGGTCACATTTAGACGCTCTGTGTAAAACCGAGCTATGTTGCATTGTATCGTATCGAAAAAGACTGAAGAATACCGACCATGTAAGCTGCACCCCTTTCAACCCACACCGACCGGAATGGTGAAGTATGGACAAACAACCCCCCTCCCCCGCCACGCGCTGCCCCATGACCGCCACGGTGTGGGGATGCCTACGTACAGTACAATAGTGGCTTGACAAAGAGTTGTAAATAAATTAAATACTGGACTCGACTGCAGCTAAAAGCATCGGTGCTGTGGGTGACTCAGACAGTGGCTCTGTGGAACACACGCCACATGGAGGTGTAGAGCAGATCACCCAGGGCACACACCAACCATTCAGTCTGTTTGTTCAGCACTTCGCAGATAATGCATTTGGAATCAATGTTTACCCTAAATCTGGACAGCAATAGCATCTGGCTTTATCGAGTCAAGCTCGCGTTAACTACATTTTTTTTTTGTAATTTACTACCAGTGCTCTTATGGCACGGTTAATTTCACAGAACATTTAAACAGCTTTTACAAATGGTTTCGCTCGTCTTTTTGCAATGGCATGCGAAAACAAATATTAACTTTGCTAATGAAGGTTAGCGCTTCTAAGCATGTCCACTGACCCCTGTCAGAAATTTGACACTCAAAGGGCACTAATGGCCGTCATCTATTGACAACCCACAGTCCATGTCTTTATGGTGAGACCGTCCTTCCAGGCTTCCACCGGCAACTGCGTTAGCGCTTGGCTTTATAAATGCCCCAATCCCTCCTCCCCCAGCCTACCTTTAAAGATGTGCAGGCTGCGCGGTCTCCTGCACCTCCCACCCACACGACCCTTTTGTCAATCCCAGGATGTAGCACGCTTCAATTGCTGCTCATAAGCCACGCGAATGCACACGGCGGTCAATACGCAGCCGACAACTCGCAAATCCCAGAGGCTAAGAAATAACGAGAATAAATAGTTCCCCCACAATTTTGCAGCCGAGTGGACACAACGCAGCTCGCAGAAGTGTCCCAATGCAGAGGTGGCCTTGTTTAAATGATTGTTTTTGTTTCGAGAGAACCAGCAGCTTAAAACTAAGACTTCCACGAGCCACTTTTAAGCAGCGTCAATGCCCGGTGCGTGTACACGCTGCGTACGATGCGTCTGATCGCCACTGACGCCGTTTTATACTTTTTTTGCACAGCCCTTGCAATTACTTTATCCTCAATAATATTTTTTTGCTTTTGCTTCAAAGCTACACAGACGCCTTGGAATGTCATGTTAGAGGTGGGAGTACCAACACATTACCCCACCACACGGCACCTGCCATTCGACGAAACCGTGTTGTACCCACGGTGTCCCCGATGTACGCGCTGCTGCATGGACAGAGGCGGGAGGGACGTGAGAATCTTGCCGAGGAAACCGCATCGAGCTCAGTGTGTTCACCATCACACCACCGAAGTATCCCTGTTTTACTTATCTATGTGAAATAAAACAAAAAGCCGACAGCAAATAAACGCATGTTCTTGCATGGAAGTCAGTGCATTTCAGGAGACAAGTTTGGAAGGAGATTTCTCATTTTTCTCGAGAACGTAGGACAGTGCCTGTATTAGCCCCTTTACAGCAATACTTCAAAAGCATCACAGGCAACGCCGTTGTGATGCAGACCGCGGTCACTGTGCTTCGTGGTGTGGCAGTCTTAGCACGCTTACGGATAATACAAAGACGACCGCACGCTATTTACACAAGGTCCTGCGACGTGACTCAAGCGGCTTTGTGAAGGACCATCATTATAACTGTGCTGTGTGCTCAATAGAAACGGCATGTAAGTTTCGTCGTCCTCATTGAATTTCTGCCAAACACATCTGTTTTGAGTTAGCGCTGTATATAATACAAAGCTTACATATTTGTATAATACTATTATAAAGGCCTCCCTTCTATCCATCTTCTTTTCTTGGCTCCCTGCTGGCCTGTTTCCTCCAAACCTAGAATCAATAAGCTGACCTGGAAAGGTTCCCCCATCCATTATACACATGGACGATTGTTGAATTTGAAATGAAGATGAAGCGCGCAAATTAAACCAGGACATTCCACGCGTTTCATATTCGTCTTGTACACAATTTAAATAAATACTAAATGTTTAACATGCCATCTGTTATCAGAAAGAAAAAAGGCACGTATAGCATACTGGACATTTGGACAGAAAAACAAATATTGCTTAGTTAAAAAATGTATTACCATTATAATGATTAAAAATCCTTAAGTCATGGGCATTATAAACAAATGCATAAGCTAGCAGTCAAATCAACCATTAATTTGCAGTGGAAATAAAAATACGCTTCCTACCATAATTGTGATTTTAACACAATTATGGTGATGCGTCTATACTTTAAAAAAAACATTTTTAAGTGCCATAAATATATAGGTTACAATGTGACAAAAGGAAATAAATGATGCAAACAATTGATGAGGATTTTGGGGGGTTTTAAGGGGACTGACTGTGGAGAAAATCACTCTGACTTGTGTGGAACCACAATTTGTCATTTGTTCTCCCACAGCAGGTACCAAATGTTTGGTGGACCTCCCGCTACTTATTCAGACAGCGCGAGGATTCAGACAACGTTCTCTCTGAAGTGTCTTCTCCACACGACCCAAGGAACACTGCGCATCGCGATCCCTCAAGTTAACATCGCGAACGTGCACTCAGACACGCGCAGATACACCCACCCACGCTGAAAAAAAAAATAATTAAAACAGTGCGCCATGATAAACTTTAATCTGCACATTAAAGATGAAAGAAATGTTTAAAAAGGC